TAATCTAAATTAAGTCTATCACTTTTTAGAAAAAGAAAAAAGAAACTAAAGAAGGCTTGGTCACTATAGTACCAAAAATTTGACTAATGGGATTTAAGGTAAGGGGAGTCACAGATATTACGTAATATAATTTTATTAGAGATGGATCTCCCCTTCCCCCTATGTAAGATATCTAATTTTAACTAATCAAAATAAAGATATAAAATATATATTAATTCAGCTGCAACATATGTATTTAGGTGATCTGAACCCTAACTTTATATATTTTTTTCTAAAGCAGAAATGATACACGACTTCAATTTGAATCATTGAATCAACTGACTTAGTACTTTTATAGAATAGTGAAATATTTTTAAGGGGGCTTATGATGTCATTGAATTTTATATTTCAAAAAATAACTCTTCCTATATGATATGAAATCGTTTTTTTACACTTATTAGAAGAAGACTTAAGCAATAGTGCTTATGTTAGGTGTAGTGAGACTGTAGTCATCGATTGGATTCAAAAAACCTAAACCTACCTACTCGCATAAGACATTATTATTAAATAAAATCAAAAAAAAAAAATTAGAACTTAAAATCCGTCAAAAATATCAATCATCTATCATCTCTTTACAATGTCAACTTTTATTATTCTACAAGTGAAACATGAAGTTATCCGTTCACATAAATAAGGAACAAAAGTCTGGTTTGTGGTGGCAATATATGACTTTAGCACAAGATGGATTTTTATACATATATTTTTAGTATTATTATTTGGCGATAGATTTAAATCACCATTGTATTATTTAATCATATCATAATTTTACAGTATTATAAAAAGTAATCGCAACCCCTTAATTTTTCTAGTTTTCAATTTTCACGCGTATATTTTAATTTTCACATTTATTTCATATATCTTCAAAATGCAAAGTTATCTTTCAACTCCGAAATTCATTAAAAACTTTATTACAAAGAATCAAATTCTACTTATCAACATTTCTATAACGCTTTCATGTATAGACAAATAGTTCTGATTAAAAACCCTAATTACAATCGTGAAAGCCTATTTCATGAAGCAAATAGTGAATGAAAAAAATACAAAATATTGAAGAAATAATCAAAGATTTTTTTAATACACCAGTTCTTATACAAGGGTTTCCTGTTTTACATACATAATATTCAGTACAAACAGTCAATAATTCACATGTAGATATAGTAAATACAACAAATACAACAATTCAATTACCACCTCAACAACCAGATGAATTACCTCATGCAAATGCCCCTTCCCAAAAAAAATTTTTGATCAAATAAAGGAAGCCGAAAAAAAATTAGTAGAATTTACCTCTTTTTATAGTTCCGCTAATGATATTTAACTTCGTAAAGATCTTTATATGTGTATCAAAAGTTTAAAAAATGATCTTGAAGAAAAAAAAACAGTTTAAAAAAACTTAAACGAAATGTAGATTATCAGCAAAAGTCTAGATTAAAAAAAGCAACACATTTAAAAGAAGAGAATGAAGCAGTTATATACAATCATGCTGGCTGTCCTCCAGTACTTTTTGAATATTCTGATCTTCTTGAACATATACATAATTCAATTAAATTCAGTGCGGCCGATACTAAAAGAAAAAAAAAATAATTAAAGTTAGATCAGTAACACATTTACAAGAGAAATTAGAAAATAATTATAATGAATACTTATCAACAAGTACATTTCGCAATTACATATTACCAAATAATAGAAATTCTATTGCAGCAAAAGCCCATCACCACCCTGCAATGGTTGGAATAGCTAATGTTTCACAAAGTGAAAAGAAAGAACACATTGATTCACATTATTGTTTAACCTCAGTAAAGGCATCAAAATCATTTGCAAGCACATTTTCTAATCTAACAGTTATGATATCTCAGGATAATAAAGCGAAGGTTAATATTGGTATACCTGCTGTAGGACGTACATTTTAAACCATACAATCAATTGCTGAACCTGTGGAAGTAGAAGATCATGATTTTCCAATTGGTGCATCTTAAAAGCTAATTCCAAGCGTTTATTTAATGATCAATCTGGCTGATTCAAATAACACGATGAGAGTAGAGTAGCTTGCAATTTATGTACGATCTCAGTGGCATATTAGAACAAATTCTTTGATACATATGCAAGATTTAATTAATCTTGCATCAATGAGAGAATATAAAGATATTTTCAAAATTAACGATATAATTAAACTGATTTAGGTAATACTAGTAGATGGAGGACCAGATGAAAACCCTCGATATTTTAAAAATATACATCAATATTGCCGCCTATTTAAAAAACTAGATCTCGACTACCTGACTATACGTACTCATGCTTCAGGTCAATCTGCATTCAATTCTGTTGAAAGAGCTATAGCATCCTTATCTAAGAAACTAGCAGGAATTTCTTTTCCTATTGATAAATTTGGTAAGCATCTTGATTCTCAAGGAAAAGTTGTTGATAAAGAACTTGGACTATGAAATTTTCAGTATGCTGATGAAGCTTTATGTAATATTTGATAACGTGATAAGATTTTTGGAAAACCTGTCTATTCTGAATACATTGACGAGAAACTAACTCTTTTATCAGATGTAACTTTTGAGACAAATACAGAAATCGATGATGGTAATAATAGAATTACTGAACTGATTCTATGGGCTTAGATCAAAAACTATACACAAATGTGCAAGTATTCCTTAAATATACGAAAATGTGTAAATCTGGAATGCTGTTCACAAAAATGAGCTCCTGAAGTTGCTACTTTTTTTGAACAAACAAATGGTTTTCTTCCACCAGTAATTCAAGGCAAAGATAATCATTTTTTGAATCCAATACATACTGCACAATATCTAGATTCAACAAAATCAATGAAATATAATGAATATTATCCTTCAGTTAGTGCTGAATAGTATGCGTGGCTTGAATGCAATATATGTAAAAAATACTTTCCTACTCGTGTTTTTCTTACAAATCATAGGCGTTTTGCTCACTCTAAGAAACAATAATTCATTTTAGATTAGTATATAGTAATATACATTAGTTCTATATAAAATGAATGTAGAATTAAATGAAATAAAAAGCTTATCTTTTATTTTTTCATCATTTTTTTATTTATTATCCAATAAAAAATAAGTTTATTTAATATATTATGTATTTTTATTTTTGGAATTTTGTATTACATAAGACATCATTGATCCTCCCCTACCTATATGATATTACGTAATATCTGTGACTCCCTAAACTATCGTAGCTAAAGGATTAAATTATGAATAATAGGTAATATTACGTGAAGAAAAAATATATTCAGTGGAAGATGTTGACTCTATTTTTTGGCTAAGCATAATATTAAGCTTTCTCTTTATTAAACTGGATAATACAATGATCAGTTCACATTTTTTGCATTAGTTCAAACATAAAGTGCATAAAGTATAAAGTGATTGCAAGAGCTATATGATTAATAATTTATAAAAAATAATAATTTTTTTTTATAATAATATTTATAAAGATATGATATATATTATAATTATTACTTATTATATAAATAAATTTATATAATAATTGAATAAGTATATTATATAAATAAAATATATATATCATTATAAATTTTAAACTTTATTTTCTAATTTAAATTACATACTATTTTTATATAAAATAGAATTTTATAAATAAAATATTATAATTTTAATTTAGATATATAAAAAAAAATAAAATGTAAAAATATATACTTATTAAATTTTTAAAAGAAAAGTATAAAATGTTAATGATAAAATTAGTCTTAGATATAATAAAAAAAACAACCTTTCTACTTTAAATGATTGAAGATATAAAAAAGTTTACATAAAAAAAGGAGATTCTTATTTCATAATAGAATTTTAATATAAAACAAAGGTTATAAATAAAGGTTTTAGTAAAGAATTTACATATTATATCAGAATAAAAATTTATTTTAAAATAAAAATATATTACATAGATATATAATACTAAAATGTAATTAATAGCAATTCAATATTGATAGCAAATAAGATTATTACTTCTTAACCTATTGAAGAGTAATTCTTTAGACAAACAATAATAATGTTTTTTATGAATGAATTTTTCAAAATTTACAGTATTATGAATCACTAAAGCCATTAAATAAAGAATTGAAAAGAAAAGAACATTATGTGAGATACAGTAATTCCTGCTTATTTGCTTTATTTTACCATTTATTTTATAATTAAATTCATATTGAATTCTTTATGCACAATAATTATTTGAAAAATATAAAATAATAAATGTATGCTATTTTACTCTATTATACCAATTTTTATTTATATTTGTATGTTTATCAGATGCAATTAAGAAAAATGAGCTACTCCTATTACGAAAAGATACCAACCAGATATTTATGTATTATCATCCTGTCAAGCCTTTTTGTTTCGTGACTATGTAATTCTAACTTGCGACAATAGCTAACTATTCGAAGAGGTAAAGTGTGACACTTTTTTTTTTGATAATATGTTGTCAAATTTGGAAAAATCCCTTGCGAGAATTTTAAAGAGCGAATCACATGTATGCTCCCATTCACACTGTTCATAAATTCTTCAGGTGACACCAAAACTTTACAATCAGCTTGTCCCATTTAACATACACCAAATTTTCTTAACGAAGTATAATCAGAAGAAAGTTATATGATGGACAAGTTATTAAGTCAGATTAATATTTCACAAAGATTAATTTATTTAGATATAACGGGATCATATTATTTCTGTCTCGTGATTCGATAGTATCATAAATTATTCTTTATTCTTTTGCCGTTTTAAAGGATTACATTAGATATATTAGTCAATGAAATCTAGTTTCTTCCTCTTTTTTTTTTTTATTTTTTTATCAATAATATAGTCTTGTGAATAACTCAAAAATCAAGTGATAATAACTATCATCTCTTTTCTTACTTTTCTTCCTCATCATCCGAATCAATATTTGCATCATCACTAAAATTCTCTTTATATTCTTTTTAATTAAAGGTTCTTTCTCACATTACGATCAATACTAGATACTATTTCATAAGTTCCAGCGGATAATTCAAGATTAACCCTACGTGGAGCCATTACAGTATCGGTTTGATGATAATGTCTTTTGGAACTATTAAAATGAACTTTCCATTCGATCTTGGTACGACGTTATAACGAATAAACTCGATGACGAATCTAATATTATCAACAATAATTCATTGTTTCCCAAAAAAAAAAAGATCAATTCCAAATTTATGACCTAAAGTTTCACTCCATTCGGTTTTACCCATGGATTTCTAATTTTAATAACTTTATCAATCGTACGAATGATGCTATACGATTAACAACTACCAAGTTTTCATTAGAAGAAGATAAAAAAAAGTTAATAATTTGCGGTGTACGATAAAATAATTATACCAATATGAAATACTTATACTTACGCAAAAAAAAAAAATGTTGACCTCTTCTTTTCATCGAGATAAGTAATGAAGAGTGCTAATCAAGAATCCATCCATAAACTCAACACGAATTGTCTTATGATGGAATATTTGCAAGGAACAAACAATTCCCACATGCCACCTTGTTGAATATCGTAACAGTATCCTGTTTATTTTCAAAAATTCTTGAGTTCTGGTTTTAGGTAAATAACCTGTGGTTTATATTCAAATTCTTTGTACCATGAGTGTTCAAGAATTTTAGTTTCTTCATAATATTTTCCTGATTGTTTTTCATACTTCGAAATTCTTCTGGATCATGAGTCCCTTTAATAAACGATCCTGGGTGTTCTATGAGTTCCGGTTTCTGTAATTCCCAAAATATTTGTCCTGAAACATGTGATCTTGCCATAATAACATAGTTTGGATATTTCTTTTGCGCTTCTTTATATTGTGACAATCTATCTTTTGTGATCATTAATTGTAGGGCGAACCGGTACTCTTTTTGAGATCTATAAAATTTGTTTAAGAGTGGTTCCCATTCTTCTACTTGTTCATCAAGAAACTCTACTGTGTGTCCTAATTGTTCAATATAATTTTTTAAAATGGTTCCTTGAGTACTTTTAGTGCATGCGATATTTCCTTCTAATATGATTATTTGAGTTCTTTTCTTTATGAATAGATGGAAATGAGGATAATTTGTGGATCTTCTGTGTTCTGGGGAAATAAGAGTTCTGTAATGTAGTTTCGTGTCAATAAGTCCTAGATTGAATATGTATGTAATCAATCGATCTTTAAATTTTTCTAACTTTTCCCATCCTTCATTGATGGCAATTATTTTTGAGATCTGATACATTTCTTTGTCTATTGTGTTCTTATGTATTAAGAAATGATCTATTCCGGGTTCTAAATTATATGGATAATCTGACTTCTGGATCATGAGTTCTCCAGTTTTTAGTCCTGTCAGTTTTTTAAATATGATCTGTCCATATAATTTTTTTTGTGTTCTGATACCATATTTCTTGCGCCGATGAAAAAAAAAAATTATGGGACGTTTAAGCATCCATTAATAAAACATTCATTTCTATTCAAATACAAATCAGATTCTCTATCCCGGAATCTATGATTAGTTGCATGACATTCTTGGAAAGCCTTTGCAACTTTCCCTTTGGGGATTACAAGGCTTACGGTACGATGTAGCCAATTTTTCTGCTTTACGATTTTTTTTCTTGGAATTGCATTAATGGTTGGCGGTAGCTGATTAATAACAAAAGGTACTTGAATTATAAAGAAAATTCCTTGTAAGATTTAGAAAAAAAAAAAAAGAGAGAACCATTTAAAAATCGACAATCATGTAAATTTGAACACGTGTTTTTTTTTTGTATTATATAATATAAAAAAAAAAAAAGTCATGTCATTATAAACATTGTTTTAAGGTATCAAGAGAATGGAATTATAAATCCGATTACTGTAAAAAAAAACCCCCGCGGTAAGAATAATTCCGATAACTCCGACTTTAACATTTTCTATGGAAGTCCTTATAGTCGATCATGATGTACTCATGCAAATCTCGATATTCCTTACGGATTTCCATATTTGAAATCTAACGTTTTCCAAACGAAGATCTTGGATTCAAGCGAGTTTTTTTTTTTTTTTTCTTTGAAATCTCGATCGAAAACCCCATCAAATCAATTAATTCATTCATATAATTAGGGTTTATATGTAAGGCTGACCCCAATCGGTATATTACAATACTAAATTGGTATGTATACTTTATAAATATCGGAAACTAAGTGATGGGGCACAAATCCGTAAAGAAAGAATTGTTATCATTCTTCTCACCTGAATTCTTCATATCTTTGGAAAAAGAAAGTTAGCGATTCTATTGGTGTAAAAGGTTAACAAGCGGTAAAAGCTTCGTAATCAATTCAAAATAATTTTTTTTTTTTGCTTAACGCAAGCTTTCAAACTCACTTACCAAAGATGAGTTATCGCACACAAAATATGACAGACATAGATTAGCAAGGTTCATAAACAAACAATAAACATTAATGGGAATTAAAGGCGCATTGTTCACGTAATGTGAATGTGGAGAATTACCAATTCCGTACACATTGTTAAAATGTCAAAGTGTTTAAACGGAAAAAATCGAACTTTTTTGAAGATTCACATGAATGACAGGAACTTTTTGCATGATCCCTCATCCGTTACTTTTTTGAAAGATTGCAATTTCCTTTTTGGTTCAAACCTATCGAACAAACAATCAAACAAGTCCCTTTTTTTTTGAAATTTAGGTTTGTGTACGCAGATTCCGCAGCAAACGAAATTCGACTTATTTGCCCGTTATGGGTTCTTGAAATTTAATCATTATGACTACCACCATCCTCACAGAAATGCTAAGAATGATGGTTAAAAAAAAGATCTTCCATGTACGGAGGGAAAGGTCCTTTTGAAAGCATAAACATATGACAATAAGAATCCCTGTTAGGGTAACCATTACGACAAGAAGAAGGTGGTGCCAAGGAATGATTCCGAGAGGAATGAGATTTTCTTTTTTCATCAAAAATAGCAATGACAGAGAAAAGTCTTTGCATAAAAAATCAATCTCTTGAAAACTTCCAAACTTTCAAACTTTTTTATAAATTTGAACAATAGGGATTGTATTACGAAAATCTCGAGTTCTCATGGATTATTATTAGCCGCAGCATTCCTGCGGTCAATAAGGAAATGGCATCATCGGAATTTCGGCCCATTTTACTATTTCCGGTTCATAATCCGTCACAGATTATTTAGATTATTTTAACCATACCATATAATTTATATATAGCAAAGTAATACCACATATAAATTCGGATTTTATATTTGACATAAAAGACGGCGTTTTCGATCCTCTTTTCGAGAAAAAATTTTTTCAAAAAAAATTGAAATAATAATAAATCAAGCATTCTAATTTTTTTTTTTTTTTTTTTTTATGTTTTATTTGATTTCGTAAATAAAAGATCTTGTTTGAGTTTGATGTCTGTTAATTATTATTTAATAATTATAATCAAAAATTCCGTTAAATAAAAATTGTTTGAACAATGGACACCCTATTGAGCTTTCAAACTTGTGAAATTAACTCAATTCAAGAGAATGAATTGACAAATGTAAAATGTAATCCTAGTCAACCAAACACCATGGACGACTTAAATTCATTTTCCATCAAACGACCACCTTTCCCTCCGTCCATCGACACCGAATATTTGGTGGAGAACCTATTAAAACGCAAGTCAAAGAACCCAAAAATGCCAAATGAGTTTTTTATTTATCGAGCCGCATTGGTTAAAGAACTCAAGGCAAACAATTACAAGATTAAGATGACAAATCTATCGACTCTAGCATCAAGATCTTGGAACCAAGAACCGTCTCAGGTTAAATCAGAGTATCGAAAGTTAGCGCGTGAAACCGAAAGACAATATTTAAAAGTACGTTCAATAGAAATGTCAAATACCATAAATAATTCGGGAAAAAACTCTGATAGAAAGAAGAGGATTTCAAAGAATGTTGCTCTACCTTCTAAACCAGTTTCACATGATAATTCGATAACCGCTTTACCTGACATCGTCGACGGCACCATGTCTCCTCTACCGGAAATCAACGACGACGTTACAACCATCATGCGACCTACCCTAGTTTATCAACCATATCCTTCCCATATCTGGTCGCAATCTCATTACGAATACGACATGAATGATTTTATGCTAATGGAGAATAATTCAATTTTCACGACATACAACGAAAATGTACTATACTTAACCCCTTCACAACTTGAAAAAAATGATACGGCAGTGTATCCTTACATAGATAGTCTATCGACGTTTTCATCGGAAAATTCTTCCCCAGTTTCGAATTCTTTGTCCTATCCACCTTCGCCTTTATCGTCTTCGTCCTTACCGATCAGTTCGACAAACGCAAACACAAACACAAACACAAACGAATTAAATAATGAATCGAATAGTTTTTTCGCATCGTCTTCTTCCCCAATCTTTGGATTGGAAGATTATAATTTAAACGCTTTAATGATAAACGTTAATGATTTTCCGCAATTCTTTGAACAAACGATTGACAATAATGCATTTGATAATTAAAAAAAAAAAACGAAAAACAAAAAAAATTTAAGTGATATGGTAAATTATTGGGCAAAAATTAAAATAAAAAAATTATATTATAAGGAATCATCTAAGATTAAAATTGTAACATATAATGAACGAAAATTGTATTTATATAATACTGTCATAATAATAATAATAATAATAATTTTCATAAAATTCACTCACAAAAGCTATTAATAATAAAGAATTTTCGAAGATTCTCTCGGTTTTCATAATAATTTTATCACCTGTTGTTTTAATGAATAAAAAAAAAAAAGTTAAGATAATGAAATCAATGAGATATGCAGGAAAAAAAGAATAACTGTAATCTGGATGGTCGCCGAAATCACCTTCCTTAATAAATGATCTTACCGAATCTGGAATGTCCAAACCGAATTTTTATTAATAAATTAATAATTTTAAAATGAGGATGTGGATCTTTATTTAATATATAACAAAATGAAAGATAACACGCGCTGATCTTATTCCTTTGGAAAGCATATTTTTAATCGGCGATTGAGTATTAAAATTTATGTGATAGTGAAATAATGCGAATTTTATTTTAAAAGAAAAAAGAAAATTGATACCACGATACTCTTAACTTATATATTAGTGATATCAGTGTCACATTTTTTAAAAGATTTTAATCCTTTATTTTATTTAAATATTATATCAAATTTTAACTTATTAAAAAATTCATGCAAGACTAAATTAGTATAAATAATTGATCATTTTAACTAGAATTAACTATGCTGAAATTATCTGAAGTTTTGACCAGATTAAAGTTGTCAGAATTACAAAATAAAATAAAATAACATTACAAAATGAAATATTTTTTAAAATTTATTCATATTTATTTACTTATTTATACTTATTCAAACTTATTCATTAATACTTATTTATACTTATTCATATCATACATGCTTATTCATATTGTTCATATGGTATAAAAGAAAACTATTTTAGAATAGAGAAAATCAAATGAATTTATCTGGAATCCATTTGTAATCTTTACCCATAAATTTTACTTTAACAAATTCTTTGATTTTATCAATCTCAGAAAGCTCTTCTTTGATCATATCAGAACTATTGCCAAAATAAATTACTCTTAAATGATTATAATGACCCTTAACATATTCACTTATAGGCGTAAAATGTACAAAATTGAATAACTCCAAAGATTCTATTTGAACATTACACTCGTTTAAGAAACGATCAAAAGTATGAGACGTGCAGTTTGAATTAATGAATCCAAGATGTTTTAATGAACCTGGTAAAGAACTTCCTAAAGATTGCATAATATACTCGTTCGTGGACCATAGGGTTAATTTTCTCAAATATCTTAATTTCATTAAAAGATTATAAAGATCGATATTTTTGTATTCTGATGCCATTAATAATAATTCATCGACATTTGAACAGTAACAAAGTATTGCCGCGATTAAGTCGGAATCGATTTCATCAATAATCAAACTTTGTAAGGATTGACCGGCCGCTTGTATTATTAAACATTTGAACTCTGAGATCTTATTTCCCACCAAATACAATTTTTTGAGGCGAAACTTTGCATCATCCGCAAAATATTTACAACCTTCTCGTGACGTGTTGAAACATGATTCAAATCCAAGCACTTCTAACGACTCACAGCTCGTTATTGGATGGATTGTGTCATTATTTAATCTTAATTTCTTGAGATACAGGTACGTCAAACTGTGGGATTTTGATTTTAACGCGATCATAATATGATTTATAGCCTTCCCTTTGAATTTTAAGTACAATCTATTAAGGTTGCTTTGGGTTTCAATCAGTTTACAGAGTGCTTTGGCCATCGCGATTTCACCATCTTCATTTGTGGTTAACTTATAATTAAAATTGACCGTACGAATATTTTTACATCTGGAAGGAAGCTCTTTCACTAATCTCGTAATATTTGATAATTCACTTTCGTTAGATGTGAAATCAAACCTTGAGATATTCTCTAACCCAGGATAGGCAAGGAATGTGTAAATGTTTGGAATGTCGGAATTAACGCTAACGATCTTTAAATAGGTAAGGTTTTTACTCTTGCTTATTAATAAAGGATATAATTTGCTTGAAATCATTTGAAGAAGTTGTTGTTGTTCCATTAAAGAAATATTTTTTATCATGAGCATAATCCAATTACTTATTTTTTCCCCCAAATATTCATTACAAAATTCTTCCAGGTATACCGGATAATCAAATAATGGTTTGGTATTTAAACATACACGAATTTCGTTAATCTTCATAAAACAATCCTTTTCTACCTCAGTCAAACAGGAAAGGTACGTTGAGATAAGTTTGGATCGACGACTTTTACTTCTTTCACGTTGCTCCTTAGCGAATGGTTTTCTATATAATATAGGTACAACGCCTATACACCAATCTCTATTTACTTGTAAGCAAGAAAAAAGACTTTTATCATCCTTTTCATCATGTAAAATTTCAAAAATATGGGAAACGCATTCTTGCGGTAATGATTGAATTGACATATTTTTGATTTTACAAAGAATTATTTTTTTTTTTAAAAAAAAAAATAAAAAAAAAAAAAAAAATTGAAATTAAAATAAATAAAATAAAAAAAAAAAAAAAAAAAGGAAAAAGAAAATTTTATTAAAAAACGTACATTTTATAAATTTTTTTTGTTCTTTAAAAAGAAGCGGTCAAATTTACTTGATTTGTATAAATTAAAAGATTTTGACGTTTTGAATTCGGCATAATCTGTGTTCGGATCGATAAATCATATTTAGTTACTTTCATTGTTCCGTATCTCTTTTTATTTCTACTTCCGCGTGCCTTTGACATGCAGGTTTCACAAAGACCTAGTTTAGAACAGAAACTTTCATTATCAGTTTATGTATTTTAAAATAAAGCATATGACAATCGACTACAATGCAATTGCCACAAAATTAAATAAAAAAAGTTCATGATTTAGACTTTAATAGTATGTAGAATAAATTACATTAGGTCCATTCTAAAGAATTTCTATGGTATTCTAAAGCACCAAAGCATAATTTTTTGGGTTCGGTAATTAAAACAAATTATCAAGATATTATTGATAAAGAATTTATAGATGGAAAAGATTATCAATTATGAATTATATCACGTCGGGAAATTATTTTAGCCGAATTTCTTCTTTGGAATATTACAAATATATATATCTTCCTTTTATCTTTTACCAATTTTGAACGACCTCTATATCTCATCATTTTAAAATATGACGCAAAAATTAAATATTTGAATTTTCCAATTTCAATCAAGGAAAGTTGCCTCTACGATTATATTCCTATAAATTATTTCATATGTTCTTACTCCGTATTTTCCAAGTATTTTTTCGCCTCACCTAATGTAATGGGAAATATAACTTCCCTTATCTAAAGAATTAATGAAACATTCTAAAAATATTACTCAAATTACTTGAAGGAAATTTATAATCATTAAAGATCAAATTTACGAATATTTTTTTGTTCATTTAAGAAGACTCTTCAATTAAAATACTATCGTCATGTAAGAACATAAAAGAATTGAGTATTGAATCAAATGAAATCGGATACGAAGGCTACCTTAAAGGTTTTTTTCCTTTCAAACCTCTTAAACCATTTAAATCGTAAAGTTCTAATTACCAAAAGCAATATTTGTTTATATATTTCATAAAATTCTAAATAATCACTCTAATATATAATATAACGGAAAAAATAAACCTTTGAAAAACTGCATTAATCTATATGATGAACATTGTGAAATTGAAGATATGTATGCGTTCCTTCTAAAAGACATAGTTCATTTATCGGTATGGTATTTAAAAATTGATTTCCCGTAATTCATACGAATTTAAAGAAGTTTTAATTAATCGTAAAATTAATGTATGTTTGGAATATTTGAACATCAATATTTGTGGTGATAAATCAAAATGTTGTGAAAAGAAATAAATAAGGTTTGATTATCAAGCAATGAGATTATGATATTAATTAGATTATCATTGTAAAATTCAATTAATAAAGTTCGGTACAGCTTTTTTTTTTATAATAGAGTTTTAACCTAAATACAATCAACCCCCGACGATAATTAATGGCGGTGAAATGTCACTTATTTTAAATGTTACAAGCTCATTTTCCAAATTTGGAATCTTTCTTTGTTTCCAAATTAGGCATTATTTATTATTTTAAAAAAAATTTTTAATAAAAATTTTTCTTTATTATGGCTCTCATTACCTAACCTTTTTTAGCAAATTATAATGCATAAAGAAATTTTTGAAAAAATAGTGAATCCTTATAAATAATAGTTAACTTATTATACAAATCTAATAGAATTCTAATATATCATCTATTTAACCAAGAAAATCAATAAAAATTATTAAATCAACATTAGTAAATAATATACTATATTTATTAATTATAAAAGTTTTAAATAAATTTATAAAAAAAAAAGTAGTTTTTTAATTAAATATTTTTAAATTTTCTATATAAAAAGTTTATATTTAATTAATATATAATATCTTAATAAATTTGAATTAAAATTATTTTAGCAAATTTTATTAAAATTTTCTTCAAGATAACTTATTAATAATTCTGTATTTTTATTATTTTAGCTTTTTTTATTCTTAACAATTTCTTTTATTAACTTTATTTTTACATTAATGAAATTTTATATAAAAATTTAGAAGCAATTAGACATAATAAAACTTTAAGTTAAATAATAAAATGTATTTATTTATTATTATTGTTAATTATCAGTTAACTTAAAAATAATATTATAATTGTAAAAAAAAAAATTAAAATAAAATAGATTTATTAGCTATTCATATACAATATATTATATTAAAATATTTTAAATATTAAGAATTAATAAATAATATGTAAACTAAAAATAATATTACAACTAATTACAATCAATAATAAATAATTATTATAGAATTACAACTAATTGTAATATTAATAAAATTAAATTGCATTAGTTACAATATTATATTTAATATAAACTTACTTTTTGTTTATTTAAGAAAAAGTTTGTATTATGATTTTTCATTTATATATATAGTTGATTTTATATAATAATCTTTTATATTCATTTTTTTTTACTTACAAATACATTTTATAAGTTAAATATAATAATAAATTTATTAAAAAATTATCTTTTATAATTATATGATATAATTTTTTATAATTATAGTATTAATTAATTTTAATGATATCAAAATTAATTACATCAATTCAACATTTATTATAATTATTAATAAAATAATTATATCTGTTAAATATAATTTAATTAATAATTTATTAGTTCACGTCAAAATATAATCTATATTATTCAGATTTAAATTGATTATATAGAGATTTGTAAGAATTAAAAAGACTTCTTTTAAAGTAATAATTTTATGGTTAAGGAAATCATATTTTTTATAATATTTTTTTAATAGATCTATCTAATATAATATATTTCTCTTAAATTTTTATTATTATATAGTTGTATTGTCAAAGTCTTCTAAGGAAGCAAAGTTAATAAATATATATGATCTTAAATAATATTATTAATTATGTAAAATAAAATAAGACATTGTTTGATATATATCAAAAATCTTATAAAAATCATTGATTAGTAATTAGAAAAAGGTCAATTAATTTGAGTTCAAATTATTAATAAAGGATAATTTATATAGAATCTAAATCAATAAGTTTAACACTTAACATAAATTTTAAATAAGATAAACTAGTTATTATTATAAAATTATATTATTATTTTTTATAGATAATAAAAGTAATCTATTAAAGATCTTTAATGATTATAAAAATATGAATAAAATAATTTTTGATTATATCAGATTTGAAAAAAAAATCTTTTTACATTAATTTTATTATTTAGCTGTAGAATCAGCAATTAAAAAATCAGATTATATTATAACTCTTAAAGTTTTATAATAGTATATATCAAATTTTTTAAAATGATAAAATAGATAATAAATTTTTATTTTTAGAAAGATAGTTAGATTTTTGAAATCTATTAAAATGTATAAAAATAAGTTAATAAAATTGCATTTTGCTACTAATGATTTTTTTATATCTGTTATATTATTAGTTACATAAAAATAGTAGAAATTATTATAATATTAAAGTGATAATCATTCATATTTATATTCTTTGAAAATATTTCAATTTTATCTACTTTTTAAAATAAACTATTATTGAGAGTTTAAGAAGAATTAAGTTTATTTTTGTTATTTTATTTATTAGTATAATTAGGGTCAGAAAAGAAAATAAAAAAAGTTTTATTAAAATTGAATCAGTTAATTAAAAATTATTGCATAATAAAGATAAGTAAGTTACTTATATAAAATAGGTTTAGCTAATTTTTATATAATCTTTTAATGATAATAGTAGTTATTTTTCACTTGAAAAGTGAATCTATTAAAGAGAAATAATGATGACAAGTCAATTCAAATAGGTTTTTAATATAACTATAAAGGGTAGTTATGATTTATATATAAATTTTAAGATTTACTTTTATATATTATAAAAATTTAATAAAGTTTTTAGTAATACTGTATTATTAAACTAAAAAAAATTTATATAATGATTTATCAATCTTTACTATACAATAATTCCTAATTAACTAGTCTAATTACAATAAATTTTAACTTATTTGAATTACTATACTAAGAAAAATTAAAATATAATATTAGTTTTATGATATCTAACTTGCTTAAAAATTTTTTTATACTCAAATTTTATTATGTAAAATTTTGATATAAATTATTAAATTATAATATTATTAATTGAATACTAAATATTGTTAGAATATTCTTTAAGATTTAAACTTTAAAATTGCATCTTTTTAGCGATAGAATCCATTTTTTTTTCCCACGGAATGAGAGAGTTAAGAGTAGTTATACCTTCTTCCAAAATAAGTATAAAATTATTTTTCTTGATAAATTATAACTTTTAAAGATAATTAATTACACTAAAGTTTTTTTTATAAATTATTATAAATTTAATAATAATTGATAGTTATTCCTTTTATTTAATAAAAAATTAATACTTTTTTTAAAGATATATATTATTATTTGAATGCTATTACAATTATATAATTTATAATATAATGTATTTATATAATTTTAAATGACTTATAAAATAAGTTGTTTATATAAACTAAACAAATTTTTATTATAATATTTTTTAAATTTTAAGTTTGTTTAAGACGTGATTTGTCAGAGATTAGTATTAATCATGTGATAAACATATAATAAATTTGGGAATAAGAATTATAATAAAATAAAGAACGCGTTTACATCTCTCACTGTTTTTATCCAACCACTAAAACCAAATGGTTTTTTTATTTTGTTAATAAAAGTTAATGAATAAGTTAATTTGTATTATAAAATTTCCATTTTTTTCTATTTTGAAGTCAAAGAAAAAATCAAACTATACCTCTTCTTTCTTTTTTTTTCTAATTGATTCAATAAATACTATAATTCACCTTTTAATCTTTATAAAATGATTAAAAATTCTCGTCAATTATTTGTATTTCTTGAAAATACTGGTTTACTTATACAAGAACTTTATTATGAGGTCATATTCTCGCTTTTGGTGAGACTTCTCAAATAAAAATAACATCACAAATTTTTCAATTCATTTGGAACAGCAAGTTAAAGTTTCTCTTAATGAACATAACTTCTTTTTGACAGTTAGAAAAGGAACAGGAAGCCTAACTCTTCTAGAATATTATTGTAAAAGTGGTCAAATTAAAGTAACTGAAACTAGTCTGACAAAAGCAATTTCAACAGCATATGCAAGTATATTCAAGAATTTTACACGATATTCTGATCATAGAATTATAAGTTGAAATAATGAAAACATTTTAAAAAACTAAAAATAATGTTGAGTTTTTCCCAGTAATGTGTTTAACTGAAAAATATAAAATTTTTTATAATCTACTATTATCACAGCACCTTCAGCATCAAGTTCTTTAAGATTTGTTCTTACGTGAATATTAAGATAAGTTTTACGTGTATGATGAGCCATCCATGATATAAGTTTTATTTAATAATTATCAAGCATATCATTAAATTCTGATCCTAATTGTTCTTTTAATTGGTCAAAAAACTAAATAAACTTTTATAATTATCACAGGTATCGGGATGATCAAGATTACAATCTCTAAATGCATTTATTATGCAAACTAATGCCATCTATTGTAATAGTAAGTAATTTGTAATATTGATGACAGATATAACACCGTTTGTCTTGTGATTTTCCTAATAATTGTTTCTATAATTGTAATTTATTATTAGAAAAATTTGAATTTTTAAAAAATTAAAAAATTGAATTTTTTGATTTATTTACTTACCCATACTAATTTATCAGTTATATGTGTTACAATTAGTATATTAATATCACCAAATACTAAATAGCCATTATCATTATATGTTGAACACAATCCACTAAGATTATCCTGATATACAAATCGTTCACCTTTTAATTTAGTCATAAAAGAAGTTCTTCGCATACCATTAGGATACTGTTTTGAACATCGTTCTCATAATGCCTTTTTGTGATCTTGCAAATATAAAAGTGGCAATCCAGTAGAGGTATTTGTTTTGTATGAATTTATATTCACAATTTCTTTATTAAAAAAAAATTGTTCAAACTGATTTAACATTTCTGCAGTAAATCTTTTTCGATAAATAACAGGTTTTTCTAATACTGGAGCACCATATCCATTAATTCATGCATGCTTATACGATTTTAAAATTGTATGTCTTCCAACCTGTAATATTAAAATTATATGCAAAATATATTGATTAGTTGGTATTGCAGTTATGTGTAATAAGGATCGAAATAAATAATTCTTACACCCAAATTGATTTGTAATTCATCATAAGTGAAATCTTCAGAAATTATAGATAATATTTGACATTTACCATCATACATTTTTTTATTATCTGATAAAGCTCAATTAAAACAAGACCAAAAAGTACGAATTGCATTGGGTATATGAATTGGAATGGGGGTAAGTAATCCTGCTTTAAATAAACTTGCTAATGTTTCTTGTTTAATAATTGGATTAGGCGACTTTGTCCATAATTCAATCTGATATTTGTATTTATATTAAATAATTGATTATATAAAATATAAAGAATACGATACAAATATTACCTCTGATTCATCACATAACTATAGAGTTACATTTGTGCATCCAGATGCTCTTAACATAACTTTTTATGCTCTAAATTCACGATTACTAAAATTATATTTTTATGGGTATATTTTTTTTAAATTAGACTCTAATTCAATTATTGTAATATTTGATTCAGCCCAGTTAATAAAAAATTGATGCTAATTAACATTTGCCAATGTTCTTTTTTTTAGGTGATAATCAAAAACTGATTTCATAATTGATTTATTTTGCCAATCTTCAGGTTTACAAATAGGAAGGAACCCAATGCTTTTATATTAGCTGTTGAATTATCAGATTATCAAACCAAAAAGCTGAGTTCCATTATATTTTTGAATTTGTTCTACTTTTTTCCAAACATCATCTGGACTAATGCCAATAAATCTTTTTTTTAATTGAAAATTTTGATAAATTTTCACAATATACTTATTGTTTTCAATTCGTGATACAAAAATTCCCTGTTTTTTTTCAAATGTATGAATAATTGAAGATTGAAAATCTGATCCTGCATATCTCCATTTTTCATTTAAAGAACAACCAATAGCATATAAAAAAATTTTATATTTTCCAGTTAAACACATTACTGGGAAAAACTCAACATCATTTTTTAGTATTTCTAAAATGTTTTCATTATTCCAACCCATAATTCCATGATTAGAATATCATGTAAAATTCTTGAATATACTTGCATATGCTGTTGAAATTGCTTTTGTCAGACTAGTTTCAGTTACTTCAATTTGACCAATTTTACAATAATATTCTGGAAGAGTTAGACTTCCTGTTTCTTTTCTAACTGTCAAGAAGAAGTCATGTCCATTGAGAGAAACTTTAACTTGCTGTCCCAAACGAATTGGAAAATTTGCAATGTTATTTTCATTTGAGAAGTCCCACCAAAAGCGAGAATATGGCCCATAATGAAGTTCTTGTACAAGTAAACCAGTATTTTCAAGAAATACGGATAATTGATGAGAATTTTTAACCATTTTATAAAGATTAAAAGGTGAATTATGGTATTTATTGAATCAATTAGAAAAAAAAAGAAAGAGGAGGTATAGTTTGATTTTTTCAACACAAATTAAACTTATTCATTAACTTTCATCAACAAAATAAAAAAACCATTTGGTTTTAGTGGTTGGGTGGAAACAGTGAGAGATGTAAACGCGCTCTTTATTTTATTATAATTCTTATCCCCAAATTTATTATATGTTTATCACATGATTAGTGCCGATCTCTGACGAATCACGTCTTAAAAAATTTAATAAAAATTAAAATAGTCTCAGCCGCAACATCACCTATAAAAAAAATTCAATATTTTAAAAAAGCTTCCACCCACCTTATTATATTCTTTTTTTTTTAAGACTTTATAGATAAAAAAAAATAATAATAATTGAGAACATGACTAAAGTAATAATCTGTTATTAATTGCCGCGTATGGTTCATAATTATGTCATAAAAAATTACATTTTATTTATTCATTTAAAATATTTTTTACGAATATTAAAAACAAAAATTTAATAAATACATTTTTACAATTACGATTTGGATCTTTGTTTAACTTTGATCTGTAATTCGGTACACGTATTTACGATAGTATGCTTTAATTTCAAAGGAGCATTCATATCTACTAATGTGATATCTAAATTTCTATATATTAAAGCGATTAGACATTTCATTTCGACAATAGCTAATTTTCTTCCTGGACATAACCTTACTCCACCTCCAAACATCAAAAATGTATTCTTTTGTGGTTCAGTTCCTATAAATCTATCAGGATTGAATTCATAAGGATCTTTCCAATGAACGGGATTAAGATGAATTCCTTCAATATATGCAATAAAAGTCGTGTTGGCGGGCCATTCATAGCCTGAGATTATATCCGACGAAGAAGAAACGCGTTGTGTTGCTTTGGCTGTATTTACGAGACGAGAACATTCCTTAAATATAGCTTCCGTGTAATACATCTTTGAGATATCTTCCATTGTAGGCATACGCTGATCCAAACCAAATATTGAATCAAGTTCCTTTTGCAAACGAGCCAAAATATCAGGATAATGACATAAATGGTATATGACAAAACATAATAAGTTTGCAGTTGTGTCAATTCCTCCAGCAATAGCTTCAAGTAAAATTTGATGTATGTCATCATTATTTAAAGGCATAAAATTATCTTCATCCATATACTTGGATTCATTGATATCACGTTCGGTATTTGCGGTGATCAAAGAAGTTAACATATCATGTCTCAATTTATCTTCAACCGGGGTTGCCTCAATTTCTTTTCTTCGATAATCAATAACCTTCTCCATAGTTTCAACAATTTTACGTCGATGACTAAGCATGGCTTGATTCTTTTTTTTCAAGATGGTATGTCTAATTAAAGCGGGATACATAAGGGCAAATATTAAATGATCAAATCCTTTCTCAACATCGTCAACGAAATTTGCAATGTCTTCAACTACAGGATTTGGTTCGATATGTTTTCGCTTTGAAGGTTCTACATGATTAAAATAAGTGACCATTGAATTAACCTTTAACCCTACAGTCATTTGAAAAATAATTTCTGTGGTAAACCTATGAATCCATACGGCAAAATCGATCGGAGTATTCTTTCCGATTTCTTTCCAATATTCATTTAATTCATTAAAAAGTATTGGAGTCCAATGTAAAACTTCATTCGAAAAGCTTGGAGCCAAAATTGCCTGTGTTAAGAATTTTCTATTAAATCTCCAAGTACGAATATCATTATTCAATAAAATCCCTTTTCCTTTAATTCCTAATTCTTCAAATGAAGGGTAATCAACTGATTTAATTATAAAATTACTGTTGGTAGAAGGTGACATCAATTTTTCGACATATTCAGCTTTGGCAAATACAATTTGACGGGTTTTTCCAAGATGTGTTTCGAAAACATCACCATATTTCTTATTCAATATTTTAAGCCATTGAGCTCTATCTCCATTTGCTTGTAATATAATTCTTAACAAGTCTCCGAGCAAAGGTAAGGGAATGGGGCCTGGTAGTGGATTTGGTCTTGTAAAATATTTGTAATAAAATTGTGCGATGTATATTAAAAGAAATGATATAATTATTTTTGTAAAACCTGACGCTTCAAGAGTTAATAATGTCATTGTTAAACGAAGATAAGTCGAAAATTTGAAACTAAAATCCAAAAAAAGAATTTTACGCCTAAATATAAATTGGTCAGGTCGGCATTTCCGAATTAAGAAAATTGTGTAATGTCGTTATCAAAACGTTGACGAATATATTACATCATCACCTAAAAATGGTAACACAAGAAATTCCGCGTACTTTTTCAAAAAGTTTTGATAAGAATAAAACCGAGGCCTTTATATTTCTGATGATTCAAGATAATTAATTAAATCAGTTAAAAATTCATACCCGATTTATTTTTTAAATTAGCGTAGCTTTTTTTTTTATATATAAAAAAATTAAATCAATAAATATTAGATCGTTGTTTAACTCTGATCTGTAATTCAGTACATGTATTTACGATGGTATGCTTTAATTTCAAAGGAGCATTCATATCTACTAATGTAATATCTAAGTTTCTATATATTAAAGCGATTAAACATCTAATTTCCACAAGAGCTAATTTTCTCCCTGGACAAATTCGCACTCCACCACCAAACATCAAAAATGTATTCTTTTGTGGTTCAGTTCCTATAAATCTATCAGGATTAAATTCATAAGGATCTTTCCAATGAACGGGATTAAGATGAATTCCTTCTATATATGCAATAAATGTCGTGTTTGTAGGCCATTCATAACCTGCTACAACATCTGATGATGAAGAGATGCGTTGAGTTGATTTTATTGTGTTTACGAGTCGTGAACACTCCTTAATTATAGCTTCCGTATATTGCATTTTTGAGAGGTCTTCCATTGTTGGTAAACGATTACGATCCAAGCCAAATATTGAATCAAGTTCTTCATGTAATCTAGTTAAAGAATTAGGATAATGGCATAAATAATATACAATAAAACATAATAAATTTGCTGTTGTGTCAATTCCGCCAGTGATAGCTTCAAATAATATCTGACTGATTTCGTCATTTTCTAAAGGTTTAGAATGATCTTCATCCATATATTTGGAGTTATTAATATCACGTTCGGTATTTGCGGTGATCAAAGAAGTTAACATATCATGTCTCAATTCTTTCTCAACTGGTGTTACCTCAATTTCGTTTCTTCGATGATCAATAATTTTCATCATAATTTCAATATATTTACGCCTATTATCAAGCATGGCCTGATTCTTTTTTCTCAATAAAGTGTGTCTAATAAAAGCGGGATAAGTGAGAGCAAACTTTATATCATCCAATCCATTCTCAGCGTCATCTGCGAAATTTGCAATGCCTTCAACTACAGGATTTGGTTCGATATGTCTTTTCTTTGTTGGTTCGACATTGTTAAAATAAGTTGCCATTGCATTAACTTTTAGCCCAATAGTTAATTGAAAGATAATGTCAGTGGTAAATCTATGAATCCATAAGGCGAAATCGATTGGAGCTTTCTCCCCAATTTCTTTCCAATGTCCACTTAATTCATTAAACAAAATTGGGGTCCAATGTAAAACTTCTTTTGAGAAACTTGGAGCCATAGTAGCCTGAGTTAAGAATTTCCTATTGAACCTCCAAGCAGGAATATGATTATTTAGTAAAATTCCTTTCCCTTTTATTCCCAATTCATCAAATGAAGGGAAATCTTCCGATCGAATTATATAATTACTTTTGGTAGAAGCCGCCATCATTTTTTCAACATATTCGGCTCTAGCAAATACAATTTGACGGGTTTTTCCAAGATATGATTCAAAAATATCACCGTGTTTCTTATTCAATATTTTAAACCAGTCCGTTAAATCTCCATTTGCTAATAAAATAAGTCTTATTATATCACCAACTAAGGTAAGAGGGATGGGGCCTGGTAGTGGATTAGGTCTTGTAAAATATTTGTAATAAAAGTGTGCCAAGTATATTAAAATGATTGATATAAAAATTCCCACCAAATCTAACGTCCCCAAGGATGTTAAGAATGACATTTTTAACGAAACGAAAAGGTCAAAGAAGTATTGAATATCATGTAGTATTTAAAAGTGAAATCGGGTTACGCCGATTTAATACTAGATAATATGGCGAAATTTTATGTAACAGTTTCTAAAATTAGATTTACATTGAACTTTAATATTTCATTTTAACAATGACTTCTTTCTTGTTTTATTTATAACCTTTTCTTAATTTGGAAATAAATATCTAAGCTAAAATAGATTAACGACATTACTTCAATAAAATGCCACAAAAGTTGCTAAAATAATAATAATAATAAAATATGAAATATATATGAAAGGTTACACTTGACGTATAGAATAAAATATTAGAATATTCTTAAGGAAGACCCAAATCTGCGATTCTACATTACATTTATCATAAAAGTTAATTCCATTAAAAAGGGTAAATTCAAATGCGTTAGTTGAGACTTGTGGCACTTTCATTTTTGCGATTCTATCGAGTGTATCATCGTTATTAAATTGTGATATATTTTGATTTATAAATTTAGCATTATTTGCTAAAGTTATAAATCGATCCCGTTCAGCTTTTGATAAATGGCAATCCCAAATTTCTTTCGTTGCTGACTCGATCATATTTTGATCATTAATTTGTAGTCGGGAAGCCTCATTCATTATGTTATGTTTCCCTTCATTAATTCTATTCCGGTTAATATTTGAGTTTTTGCTCTATTCGTATTGTTATCGCGAGGATTTTAATTTTATTGTCTTTGTTAATTTTATTCATATATATATTTATTTATTATTATTTTTTTTTTTTTAAAAAAAAAAGAATTGAATAAAAATATTATTGTGAAAAAAGGAAGAGGGTTTATATAATTAATTTGGTCATGATAAAATAATAATATTTTAAACATACACATAAGAACTCATATAAGATTATAAATTTGCAACAATGAAAAAATGACTCTGTAACGAAATCCGATAGATATCGTCGATAAAATTTTCTGTGTTTATCACCGAGATTTGATTCATAACTTTATTAATTATTATTGATTATCGATCTTACATTTGGTTCAAAATAATTCTTCAATTATTAAATCACTAATCCATATTAAATGAATTAAGGACAATGGGTTCTTTTAAGTATGGTAAAATGTATCCTTTTTTATACAGCCAATTTTTCTTAAAAAACTTACGCCATCATTAATTTTTCGTCGTATTTTGAAAAAGCTTTCATAAAATTTTAGTTCGAGCTTGATGTTTGCTGAAAAATTGAAACATGTTCTGAAATTAAATTACCTTTGACATGCGCATTTAATTATTCCATTGAAAGGATTATAATAATAGTAACACTCATTATATACAATCTGAAACATTTCATAATGGTTATTAATCATATAAACTTGACTAAAATCATTCATTAGATTTGTATTACGTAACGTTATTATAAAAAATTTGTTAGATTTAATTTTCTCAAAAAGAAATCTCAATTTGGAAACTTCGAAATGCTTACCTAAATGGTATTATTATAATCATTTTTTTTTTTTGTCCTTTGAAAGTATTGGTAACGATCAGATAGGATGAAAAAGCGGACAAAAGGTCAAATTATCAACTTTAATTCTCGCTTAAATCATCGGGAGCTATTCAAATCCTGAAAACCATTATCCCGAAAGTTAATTATCCGAAATATACATTCATTTAATGTGTCAACATTGATGTGCTGATGATTTTTGAAATGAAATTTAGCTATTTTCAGTTAAAATGATTAACAAAATTATTTTTGAAATCATTTATAGTAAAAAAAAAAAGTTGTAATACAGACGATAATAAATATAAGGTAATATATTTATTATTAAAGGAAGAATCATTTTGTTTCTTAATCAAGGTATGGATTGAGAACAAGCTTCAAATAATATTTTTTTTCATTGTATTTAAGGGTAATGTTATTAAAACTTCTAGGTATTTAACGAAACTTGTATCCTCTAATGTAATAAAAAATTTCTTTCTATGATAACAAGTATCGAATACCGCACTAGATCACTTATTCTCCAAGACCACTGGGATTAATTTCACCATCTTAAAAATATTTTGGAAGTCTTCTTTATTATATTAAAATTTTGAACTATAAGACCTGAAAAAGTTAATCAATTGTATGAATTTTTGGCGGGAATTTCCGTGATAATTAAGGTAATTCGTGGTGCTACCAGTTGTTGGAGTCCTCTGCAAAATTTAAAAATTTAATCAAAGTCGGCTCCGGAATTTTCAAATGACTGAGAACAAAGTCGCTGTTCCAAATTTAATCTAATAACAGAACTTCGCGGAATTCTCAATTTATTAAAAGGTTTCAAATTTGTTTCCGAATGGGATTCTAACAACTTTAATTCTGTCGAAAACTTAAATTATATATTGTACTCTTTGCAATATTAATTAAATTTTTAAACAAAATTTTAAAATTTTGTTAGAGTCGCGACTAGTTGACGGTTGAATCTACTGAAAAGGTTTCCACGTTCTAATGAGAGATACTTTATTAAAGGGAAGAAAACTTGAATTTTGGAATATTGAAATAAAAAAATTATAGATTCAATCGGCATAATGATTTCAAAGGCGGTTTCGCTTTATGTATACTCCAGAAAGTGTAATACTTTCTATTAGTTAATAAAAAAAAAACAAAAAAATAAATTGCTCCTATTGTACTCAAAATCAGACATATGGGTCGTTTGCTATTAAAATATTAAAATCGAGTTATGAAATAATATGATCCGCGTGATTTTAATACCGCCAAAAAAAAAAATATTTTGTTAAGATTAAAATAAGACGGAGAAATGAGTTTGTTATTTTAAATATAATCCGTACAAGACCGGTTTTGACTGATAAAATCTGATATTTATTATATTTATTTTTTTAACTTGGTCATAATACGATCGACTGCGCTACATTATTTTTTATTTTGACGTCATAGTCAATAATTTCAATATATATATATATATATATTTTTAAAATAAAAGAAAATTGAAATAAAAAAAAAATTGATATACTGTCAAATGATAACAAATAATTCAATTTGATATCGCAATACCTATCGTTTAAATAACTCGAAAGATATTTCAAATGGAATAAGAAAAATTATTTACAATTATTACATAATTGGTAGCTAAAATTTTAATTTAGAAATCTTGTATTCTATTTTATACTCTGTTGATTTATGAACTTTTTTAAATTTTTTTCCTGTTCCAATCCTTTACCATTTCCATTATTTGTTTTCTGCAGCAATTTGATACTGATTAAAGACCTTTTGGAAATTCGTTTGTTCTTTCTTTGTTGAACAGAACAAAAATAACTAGTGGTATAACAAACCGGCTTCATCACATCGCAAAATCAAATTAGTTATTTTACCAAATGCGATAGATTTCCTCCCCTATATAAAAATAAATACAATTATCACGTGATTTTAAAATTCGTAATTGAAGACAATAAAATGATACATTTGTAAATAGAATCCATCTTGATAACTCACCTTTTTAAATTGCATTATATCGTACCCTCTTGGTGACTGGAGTAACTTCGTTTCAAACCTTTGAGACTGAACCGCCTCTTTTGGTAATTCTGGTAGTGCTAACTTTAAATTTTAATTAAATTGTACTGGACGCCTGTTCAATAAGGATCTGACACGCATCCCATTCACGCAAACTGTTTCGCGTAGACGTGATTAAGCGCAATACATTTTCCACTTTTTCCTCCACATTATTTTCTTGAAAATTGAATGAGATTATCTCATTTTCAATAAGCATAGACGAGACTCGATTTTTCTTGAATGTAAATTGGCTGTAATCTCCCCAAACGAACTTTCATATCATTCACCAGGCCAAAATGCAAACTATTGTCATTTACTTCCCATTTCCGTTGGATGATGCATCTGAGAAAGTATACGATTAAATTCGTATGCCAACTCTGCTACAACAACTACTTCATCCTTGTGAATTTCAAACCGGCTTGTTACGAATTCCACAATGAAAAATGCGAATTGTAAATCATTATTATTTACAATTATTGAGGCGAAATCTAATCTTGTTGAGCCTTGTCCAGCATGACCTGGAATTAGATGCTGTAATTCCCAAGTAGGAGAGAATTTTAAATGATGAAGCTTGAACGCTGTAGAAAAAATTCCGAACCAAAGTTCAGATTTAACGTGATTTCCGGACGGATTGCTACCAAGACCGCGCGATGGTGTAGCTTTGTATGAAATAACTGCGTAATTGCGGATGATGCAGTTAAAACGTCTATATAATAAGGAGTATTTTTTTGAATGATTCCAAAATATCCGACGGAAAACTGCAACTATAATATTGCGATCATTTGTGTAAATTCGACCTTTCTTCTTAAGCGATTGCAATATTCCAGCTATTGATCGAAGCTAATCATCAGTTGCTCTTCAAAAAGTACAGACAAAATTTTGGTATTGAAACGTTGATCATTTTTTGTCTACCACCATCAAAAATTTCCAAGCTGACTACGGACCACTTTAACATTTCGAAAAGGTGATGGGCTCGTTGCGAATCTTCTTCGTTGTGGTGTGACTGCAAGTCTGTAAGTATCTTGCAATAATGATCTATTTGTTCTGAGTGATTGACAATCACATTGCACTCTTGGATAACGCATTTCCTTTTTCGCTTGTGAAAATTTACGGAACTTGTTTCATCCAACTCGTCACCCTCAGCTTCAATTACAATATCTTCTTCACTTGCTGCTTCATCCTCAACTTCAATCCCAAAATCTTCACCCAATTTATTGACGTACTTGCTTCACTCGACTCGTTTGCAACTTTTTAGGTAGATAAAAAAAGAAGTCAGTATAATTCCGAATCAGCTGAAACGCACATACCAAAAGTTAAAGTCTGGGGAGACTGGGCATGGCTCCGCAAGGCACCATGCCACCAACAGCACTGCGGCTAATTGAGATGGTAACTGCTTAGTGATTATGACAAGATTTGGCTCGCCAGCGACAAATGGCACACGCGACAACCCCAGTTGTGGATGCACCCCATCTCAGTCCAAGTATCTGACCGCTAGCAAGTCGGGACACTTGGGTTCTGCCTCGTAATCACTAACAGAGTGCTTTCGACTCCTCAGACAAATTTCGTAGAATCTATAGAAGAACGTTTACAGTAGGCCGATTTCCGTACGCCAGGTCTGGTTACCTGACTGGAAGCTTTCGCAAACTGTAGCCACGAAGTGTTTCCAGTTCTATAGTCTACTAGTCTGCACAAAAGAGCACTAACCTTATTTAATTTGTTCCTAAATGATTTTAATTTCAAATATTTGTTATCGTTCTTGTTATAGGTTTTAGAAAGAGCATCTATATCCTTTGCTAAAGCTTGGTGACATTCCTCAAAAGTGTACCTTCTTGACCAATATTTTGAATAACGAAACAATTATAAATATATACTATGAAAAATTAGTTGACTGAAGTAATCGAACAGGATATGATCAACTTACCAGAACATGAGAGCTTTTCAATTGTTTTTATCGAAAGTTCATCCATTGTATAGTTGTGAAAAAACGAAGAGATTGAATAGATTATAAAAGGAAAAAGTTAAAAAGAATTTTGTTGAGTCCATAAATTATAGAGCAAATAAATTTAACTCATACCGAGATGTCACTTTGATGATTGTATTACGTAATAAGGATGGTTGATATTGTATATAGTAATACTACAAAATTAGATTTAGTGAATACGTCAATTTCTTGACAAGCATCAAAAGTTGGGAATATAATAAGATGTTGATCCTTGGAGATACAAATAAGGCCTTCGAAGAATGAGCTGAGCTTCTTATTAACAAGTCAAGTCTTGATCGCCTTATAGAAATTTTCTTAGTCGCAATCGATTCGTCGAAGTATTGCATTGACTGCAAACTATTGACGTAATTTATTATCCTGACTAAAATCTTTGTCATACATTTATTGAAGTAATAATTGCAACAACACCTTCGGATTTAAGGTCAACGCTTGCTTAAAACTGAGGTATGTCGAGAATAACCTTAGCAATTTCAGTCTCAACGAAGGTTATTTCAAACCTCAATTTCTAAAAATTCCCGCCCATTTCATATTGATCAAAAATTCCCACATTCCAGGATTTCATTTCTATATAACATTTTGAACTAGAACGTAACGGTTTTGTTGTACTTCGTTCGGGCGAATCCTCAGTGGGGATATGGTTCCTTCAGTGGTGATGTGGCGATTTTGATACTTTCCTACACTTATGATATCGTTCACTCTTATATTGTTTGATTCATAATGAAAGGAGACACGAGAAGGTATAATAGTAGGTAACGTCAAAACAATCATACAAGTCCAAAGGTTTCTTAAAAGACAACGATATATTTTGTTTTGGTGTAAATAATAAAAAAGAACGTGTATGGCTTCGTTTATTAATTACTATATTAAAATCAAATAAAAACTGAAATTTTATAAAAATAAAATTGGGCGGAGTTATTGATAATTTGGTTAAATTCTAATTTTGGCCAGAATTAAAGAAATCCGGATTCCCAATTTGTGTTCGCCTTTCCGACGCTAGTAACCTTTCTTCAGAAAGGTTAGGCACTTTAGCAGGAAGCTGGTACTCCCTTACCAAGGAGTTTAAGTCGGTTTTTCTTCATTTCCACGGTTCTCGTTTCATATTCTCGCTTATAATCTCGAACTTATTAATAAACATTTAACTTAGTTCATTGGTTTTTATTTATATATACATATATTCTCTCGTTGATCTTACTTTTTTTATTTTTATATCCTACATCATTTGCCAAGTAATAAACCAAAGGCTTGTTTAATAGAAATTTTTTATTTAGATGGTAAGTATTCTTTAATTATTTTCCTAACAAACCTTCCAAATAGCATATATATTTTGTGAAAAAAAGAAAGTGGACTAAATTCTACTGTAATATTTACAAATCCAATGGACCGAAAATCGTTAACTACATTTCATCAACTCTTTAGCCAAGCCATTACTTAACGGGTCATTTTGTGATCTTAATTTTCCACTCGAATTTCGTTTGTAGAATTTAATTTTCGATATTTTAATAAAACTCATTATAATGCATTACTGTACTGTTAATTTAACATAAAAAAAATTTTTTTTAAGTGGTGCAAATTATAAACATTGACTTATGTATATATATTCGATACGATTCATTTTAAAGTACGCATTATATTGAAAATAAATTGTGAAAATGTTACCATCATCATAAGAATGTGAAACAATACGGATTAGGAATGTGAGTTATATAGTATAAATTATACTACCCAGTAAAGTGTTAAGAACAATCGCATATTCGTCGATCAGGAGATTCAATATGTTATACTTTAAAAAAATTTTTCTCGGTAAACCCCTGATCCAGGTTTAAACAGGTTTTTTTTTTTTAAAAAAAAAAAAAGTACATTTCCTAATAAGTAAAAATTAACAAACGTCAAATGTCATCAAAATAATGGAGAAATATGGACGGGTAACCGCGAATTTTAAGAAAAATTGTTTTGCCTTAAAGAACAAGATAATAAAAAAAAAAAAATCAGAAAAAAAAGAAAAAAGAAAAAGTTCGGTTAAAATAATATTAAGAGAATTTTTATGAAAATTTATAGGCGACTTGAAAAACTCTCATTGATGACTCATTCTGCAGTCGGAGGTGTTTAAATTTTTTAATACTTGCTAAATTAAGTAATGATAGATATGGGATGGACTAAAATATATTAATTATCTATGCCAATTGTAACGGATCTTACATCATTTATTTTCTTTCATCTTTTTTTTTTTGATTATAAAAGAAACAGCAAAGCTTTCAAACACTTCAGTATACTTTTTCTTCTCGTACGTACTAAAATAACGCCCACATTCCAAACAACTTACTATTTTAGCTAAAACTTTTCGAGCGAGATTTCCAAAATTTTCGTGATTTGACAAGGTATTTTATATTAGTAGTGGTTTTCCATTCTGGTTACGAGCTCAACAATATTCGCGAAATATTGTTGACCTACAGGTTTGAATACCCGGGATAGATTTAGTTAAGGACATGCGGGAAATTGTTAATTACTGGCCCGAAAATCAAGAAGATCTCATCCATGTTATCGTAGAAGCACCCGACTAAGGTTGCCGGGCAAAACCCCGAGGTTTCGACAGGCATCGAAATCGAAACCCATCGAAACATTTTGCCAAATTT